CGTGAGGTGTGAGGGGCGCGGGAGCGGGCGGCCGTAAGTCCGGGGTCGTGAGGTGTGAGGGGCGCGGGAGCGGGCGGCCGTAAGTCCGGGGTGGTGAGGTGTGAGGGGCGCGGGAGCGGGCGGCCGTAAGTCCGGGGCCGGTGAGGTGTGAGGGGCCTGGGTGCCACGCCAGGCCACCCAGTTCTGCCCTTGGCTGCCTGGCTCGGCCTCCTGGCAGCTAGAGTGTTGGGTGCAACTTACACCCTCTCTCCATGCTTCTGACGGGTGCTACACATCCCCCAGCTGCTGGGGTGACTGTGCCTGGCAGGGCTGGGCTGACTCACAGCAGTGACTGGGTGTCCTCCTGCCTGTGGGCCTTTGAGGAAAGGGCCTGTCCTTCCCCTGCAGCCTGTGGGTTTGTCTCTTTTACGGAATTTGAAAGAGCCAGGGAGGAGCACAAGGGGCCCCCTGGGAGAAGACCCAAGCACTTGGGTGGTAACCAGGCCATGAGGGGCCTCTCTAGCCGCCCTGTCTGGTGGGCCCCTCATGGGCTGGGTGCTGTGATGGTGGCCAGCTCTGTGCTGTCGCAGGGAGGAAAGGGCAGCCAGCCCAGGAAGTGGCATGAGGGCTCCCGGCAAGGCTCCTGGCCTGCTGGGCTCATTCACACGTGCACCCCGGCTGTCACTCCCAGACACACACGTAGACCCCCCCACACGAGCTTTGTCTCACAGGGAAACACCTACCTGAGCCTGAGAGGAGCTGCTGGCCCAGGTGAGCCCTGGACTTAGGGCTGGTGTCAGCCCAAGGTCGAGGCCGGGCTCCGTGGAGGGACCAGGTTGGCCTGTCAGAGCTGGGCCAGGCCCACCTCTGCAGCGTGGGCCCAGCGGAGACCCCTGGCACTCGGCAGACCCCTCATGCTTTCTTTTCCCTCGGCAGAAGGCGTCCAGCTCAGCACACGAAGGCCGCCTCAGTGACCCCCAGCTCAGTGGTCCAGGCCACATGCGGCCATCCTTTGAGCCACCGCCAACCACCATTGCTGCTGTGCCCCCCTACATTGGGCCCGACACGCCGGCACTTCGGACTCTGAGCGAGTACGCCAGGCCCCATGTCATGTCACCCACCAACCGCAACCACCCCTTCTACATGCCCCTCAACCCCACGGACCCCCTGCTGGCCTACCACATGCCCGGCCTCTACAACGTCGACCCCACCATCCGCGAGCGCGAGCTCCGGGAGCGGGAGATCCGGGAGCGGGAGATCCGGGAGCGGGAGCTGAGGGAGAGGATGAAGCCGGGCTTCGAGGTGAAGCCCCCAGAGCTGGACCCCCTGCACCCAGCCGCCAACCCCATGGAGCACTTTGCCCGGCACAGCGCCCTCACCATCCCCCCGACCGCCGGGCCCCACCCGTTTGCTTCTTTCCACCCGGGCCTGAACCCCTTGGAGAGGGAGAGACTGGCCCTGGCGGGCCCCCAGCTACGGCCCGAGATGAGCTACCCTGACAGACTGGCCGCTGAGCGCATCCACGCAGAGCGCATGGCGTCGCTGACCAGCGACCCCCTGGCCCGACTACAGATGTTCAACGTGACTCCGCATCATCACCAGCACTCACACATCCATTCCCACCTCCACCTCCACCAGCAGGACCCCCTCCACCAAGGTGCGTGCCCCAGCGTGGCAGGTGGGACAGAGGCACGGGGAGGGGTGCAGAGCCAGATCAGCAATAGTCACCATCCAGGCGCAGAGCACGTTCTTTTCTGAACAGACCCCTCATTCCTAGCAGATCTTAGAATAGTTCAGCACCCACCTACAATCCCGGTTTGCTGTGTCACAGTCTCTCCTCGGCCCGGAAGCTCTCCAGAACTGCAGGGCCTCAGACAGCTGCAGTGCACAGGTGAAGCCTGGGCTCTTGGCCCTGTGCCTGGGATGGAGGGACGTGGCCTAGGCCCATGGGGCAAGGGAAGGGCAGCAAAGCAGGGTCATGTGGCCTTTGGAGTCAAGGAGCATAAGGTGAAGCACTGGGCTACTCAAAGGTCACTTAGTAAGAATTCAAAGCACAGTCCTCTTCCCTTGAGAAGCAAGGCTGGGCAGGGCTCCTGCAGGCTTTAGCTGAGTTCTCCTAGCCGACCCACCTGGCGAGGGCTGCCTGGTCCTCTCCACCCTGGGAGAAGGAGCTCCTTAAGGCTGCTCACGGACCAGCTGTGGGGAGGCTGATCTGAGGCAGAGGCAGGCACAGCTGGCATCCTTACTCCCTCTGCAGCTGGTGAGATAGCACAGGAAGGCGGCTGCTGTGCTTGTGAGGAGGCAGGCGCACCCGCCCCGTGGGACTCGGGGGTCCAGGTCCCGTGGTGCAGCCTCCATGCAGGGCTTCCTTACCCGCCACCCTCCAGTGTTGGGCAAGAGGATGGCTGATAGGGCAGGGCCCAGAGGGAAGGCAGGCAGCCACCTCTCCTGCCTCTGCACCAGGTCCTGACATGGGAGTGCACTCAGCATTGCTGCCCTCAGACCTAAAGTTCTGTGCGCACCTGGGGTGGACCTTAAAAGCCTCAGTAGAGCCAGTATATGAGGGCAGGGTGTCATTTGTTCATTCATGCATCATCCGTTCATTCAGCAAGTGTTTACTGGACAACTGGGATGTGCCAGGCATAGTTGTAGGTGCTGACAAAACCCCCGTCCATATTTACGTTCCAGTTTGGAAAGACGGTTGAAAGACATCTGCCAGGTTGTGAGAGGCGGGAAGTGGATGTTCTGGTAGAAAATAAATCCAGAAGAGGAGATCAGGAGAGCTGGGGGTGGGGGCAGGGGCAGTGTGGCAGTTTTGGGAAGGCCGTCAGGAGAGGCTCGATGAGGAGGTAGCAGAGACACGGAGGAGGTGAAGGGCAAGCTGTGGGAAATCAGTGCAAGAGCAGCCACAGAGGCGGAGGGAGAGCTCCAACCTGCCAGGGACCCTGAAATTCCTGCCAGCACCTGTGTCGGCTTGAGCCAGGGGATAGGAGATGAGGGCAGGAGGGGCATGGTGGGGCCGGATCAAGGCAGCGTTCTGAAGGTAAGACATAAGATTTGGTGCCAGCAGAGAAGAGAGGGCAGTGTCAGGCCAGGTCCCCGTTCAGTGCCTGCTCTGCTGGCCTCATTTGGGTTCTGCGAGTGAAGGGCAGGGAGACAGCCCTGGGCAACGGGTGCCAGCCCAGCACCGACTGGGGTAAGGTGGTGTATTCCTGTGACCTGACAGGCAGAGGGCAGGCCCAGGTGGCCAGGGAGAGGGACCCTGCCAATCCCAAGTCCTTGACAAAACTGGCCTGGGGTTGCCTGGTAGGGGTGCTTCACAGTGGGAGAGGAAGTGCCTTCATCAGCAGTGGGCTTGTTACTTCTCTCTGCCTCTATAGCTCTCACTGAAGGTGGAGGCAGCCACTTTAGGGCAGGTCCACCTGCAGTCAGGTGGTACCATCCATCCCTGGTGACCAGGAGCCAGCCAGGGCGAGGAGGAAGTCACTCACTGGGATAAGCATTGAAGAGCCATGCACCACCTCTATCTGGCGTTTTGTCCTTTTCTTAGGTTCAGCGGGCCCCGTCCACCCACTGGTCGACCCTCTGACTGCCGGCCCTCACCTGGCTCGCTTCCCCTACCCCCCTGGCACTCTCCCCAACCCTCTGCTTGCACAGCCCCCCCACGAGCACGAGATGCTTCGCCATCCAGTTTTTGGTAAGACTTCCCCTCTGGGAGGGGCGGGGGACTGTGTGAGAGTTGGGCTGGGGTCTCGTCTGCTGTCTTCAATCATTTATTCATGTATTGAGCAGGTGGGTTTGTGCACCCTATATGCCAGGGGTCCCTGGGGGAACAAGCTTCCTGCCCTCTGGGGACTGCCTGGGGTTGGGGATCATAAATGCATCAGCCTTGCTGAGAGCCAGGACTGCAGGGCCGGTAAAAGGAGCAGAGGAGGCTCATGGCAGGCCTCTGAAGGCACAAGGCACTTGGGCTGAGGCCTGGAGCATTCTGAGGAGGAGCCAGGCCGGATCCAGGCTAAGGCACCCAAGGGCATCTTCTACTTCCCCGGAGGCTCTGCCCTCCCGCTGTCTGCAGAGTCTGGGAGGGGCTGGCTCCTGTGTCCATGTTGGCCATCTCTCCTGTGCTCCCTGCTGCTCGCTGTGCTGGTGCCACTGTGGTCCTGGCCAGTCCTCTGGCTGTTTCTGTAGCACGGGTTGTTTTGTGTCTGGCAGGCACCCCCTACCCTCGAGACCTGCCTGGGGCCATCCCACCCCCCATGTCAGCAGCCCACCAGCTGCAGGCCATGCATGCCCAGTCGGCCGAGCTGCAGAGACTGGCCATGGAGCAGCAGTGGCTGCACGGACACCCCCACATGCATGGTGGCCACCTACCAAGTCAGGAAGATTACTACAGGTGAGGCGGGGTGCTAGGCGGGAGTGGAGGGGTGTCTGAGCCCAGCCTCCCACCAACCCACAGGTGCCCATGGTGTTTCTCCCATAGTCCCCACTGCCGGATTCTTCCCATCAAGCTGCTGGGCCCTAGAGGGGACACCGTGAAACCACAGCACTGGGAGAAACGAGGAAGGGGGAGGTGTTGGGAGGATGGGTCAGCTGCGCCAGAGGCTGCGGGCTGGGGTTGGATTGCCTGGCTGTTGCCTTTGGGGCTGCTGCCCACCTGCCGAGGCCGGAGACTAAACACACTTTCCCGTTTTGTCTTCCCAGTCGACTGAAGAAAGAAGGTGACAAGCAGTTATAAGTTATTTATTTCTTAACGCCGGCTGTGGAAACCCCAGTTCTTGGGGGGAAAACAGGACTTTTTACATACAGTAGGAGCTGCAAAAGCAAAAAGAATATCTTCTAAAGATTTCTTTATATATTTAAAAACCACAACTAAAAATGTACCCACATAATAGTGTTCGTTTGTCGAGAGGATTTCCTGAGACTGGTTTGGATCTCCCTGCATGACAGTCCCCCAGAAACTTAGTGAGTCCTGGACTGGACTGAACATTCAGAAAGCTTCCCTGCAATCTTGGGGTTTGCTTAACTTAGTGAGTCCTGGACTGGACTGAACATTCAGAAAGCTTCCCTGCAATCTTGGGGTTTGCTTTAGTTTCTTCTTGATTTCTCCGTAGGTGCTAGAATCCAGTTCCCACCCTTCACTGTGCGCTCGCAGACACACTCCGTGACGAGTGTCCAGAACCCGCAAGCTTTGCAGATAGGCGGCATATGAATTTGGAATCCAAGAGCTATAATTTTTAAAAAAAATCTTTTATTTTAATACATTGTAGGAAATCTTCATAATTTGAGAAAGTTCTGCAGCATGGCTTTTTACGTCTGTAAATAAATAATTTTAGAACAGCCTTTTTTTTCTTCCATAAACTACTATTGTGATCTATTTTTTCCAGCCATGTCACTAATTGTGAATTCCTACCAACTATTGACAGAATACAGAGTTGATTTTTTAATAAAAAGTTATATATAATTATCCCTTTAATTAAAGGGAGCAAAGGGGCGTTGCCCGTGGGCAGAGGCTTGGCCAAGGCCTGGTCACAGCAGTAAGCATCCAGGGCTGGCGGGGGCGAAGTTTTGCCCCTTGTGTTTCACGTCTGTCTGCTCCTAGCCTGTGCTCTGCCGGCTCTGCAGACGTCTGTCCATCAGACCTCTTCCAGTTTGCACAGGGAGTGCAGGCAGTGAATGCTCGCTTTCTGTTCCCCGTGTCACTGTTCTGTTTCCACGGGATGGAAAGCATGTGGTCCTGTGTCCATTGTAGATTTCCTTCTAGATTTCTATGTACGCATACTTGATTGCTCTGGATGAATGCCTTTTTAAATACTCTGAAAATTTCATAATCTAAGAAATTCAAGAAAATGATTCCATACGAATAACTCGGCACATGAGCGACCCAGGACATATGCCTGCCAAAGGGATCTGTTGGAAGGCTGCCCTTTCATGCACATTGTCATCTAGATCTTATGGTGAGGATGGCCCATTCTTGCCACAGACCAAGGCTGCTTTTGAGCGAGGGAGACCCTGGAGTTAGACAGGTGTTGGGGGTGGCCTGCATTTTCCCCCAGGAGTAGGTCTGCGTGGCGACCCATGTTGCACTGGCAAACCACTGGAGTCCCACTCTTCATCCTGGAAGTGGGAACTGGAGTCCCTTCCACAAATGTGAGGTCAGAAAGCAGGCTTCCGCCTGCGGCACAGCTGCTTAGGAGGCCAGGCCCCTCCGGGCAGAACTGTCCTGGAGAGAGCCTGCCCTCCTCTCTAGGTCGCAGCCATAATGCACTTTCTCCCAGGCCAAGGATGGGTGTTTTGGGGTGTCTGCCCTCTGTCAGCTCTGCTTCCTGCCAGGATGTGGCCTTTTCCCATCCTCTTATCTCAGACATTTGACGGCTTTTCTGCCATTGTTTGTGCTGGTCCCATCCCAAGAATTGTAGGGCAGAGAGACCACAGTAGGTCAGCAGACAGAAAGTCCATCTAGGACCCAGGCCACAGAGGAAGCAGGAAGAGAGGCTGATAGTTTGATCTAGAAACCAGCAGGTATTAGCTCAAATCCAGGTTCTGGAGTCATATAAGGGCATTCCCAGTTTCTCTGAAAAACCATGTTTGGTTTCAGTTGGGAAAGGATTGTTCTATCTATTGAAAATGTTTATAGTTTATTTTTCTTCTTTCCATTTTTCTCTCATTCCATCTCTGCCTTAACTTTAGTTCCTTAGTGGGGAGGCAAGCTCACATTAACCTTCTGTCATCAGACTTCAGGCCGCATTGGCTTGGAGGCATTTATTTCCTTGTGGGGTGGGACGGGGCCTCGTGGCAGGCTTGTTGGAGGCTCCCACTGGGGCCTCTTCCTGCTGGGCTCCCAGGCCCCTGCATCCATGCCCTCTCCTTCTCTCCTTTTGGGTTTTCTTGCTTGCTTGCTTTTCGGTGGAGCACAACATCTACCATTCAGTTAAACCTTCTTTGTCTCTTCCTCTGTCATCTGTTTTTCCAAAGAAGAGAAAGAGTGGAGTACTCTGAGGTCTGTACTTGAAAGCTGTCCGAAGGTGTTCTCTTGTTAGGTTTGCATTTCTCCCCATATCCCAAGGTGAAGCACTGAGATTCTTCCATTTAAAAACCTTGACCCGAAACCCTCACCAGATCAATTGCAGTTTCTCTGGGAGGCCCTGTGTCTTTGAAGCCCAGCCGCTCGGTTTCCTCTGGACTTTCCTCCCTTTGTTTGGGGTTTGGTTTGGCTCCTCTGTGTGTCCCCGTATCTTGTTGAGTGTTGTCGAGGTTGAGCTTCACTCCACTGCGGCAGAGCCAGAGTGCACATTCGGATTTGCTACGTTTCTATATATCTTGAAGCTAAATGTATATATGAGTAGTTTGCCATGAGATAACACAGTGTAAACAGAGTAGACACCCAGAAATCGTGACTTCTGTGTTCTCTCCATTTGAGTATTTTGTAATTTTTTTGAAATATTTGTGAACATAAATAAAACCAAGCTACACTACAACCCCTGGGTGTCTCCCGTGCACTGTCTCATTCTGGAGGGTGGGCGGGGATCCTGGCTGTTACCCAGGTGGGGGACAGGCAGAGGGAGAGTCAGCTTTTCCCTGCTGCTGGGGATCCTGTTTGCGTCCCAGAGAGGTTTCCAGAAACATCCTTGTTAGCTCTGTCTGGGAAGAGGATTTCTCTGGTGGGGGTGCTTGCTTTCTTTGGAGGCTCCCCAAGCAGCCGGATGGGCCCTAAGCGGGCATTTGGACCAAGGGCATCCTCCCCACCCCTCGCCATTCATCCCACGCCTCTATAATCTGTGGGTGTCGCCGGCGTGTAAGGGCATATGGCACACTTCCTGCTTAGGAAGAGACATCGCAACCGCCCCGCAGCCTAGAGGCTACCTGTCTGGACCCCATCAGTCTCTTCTCAAAGCCTGTCAGTGCCTCCGTTCACCCCCCACCCCCCATCCAGCTCTAGAGTAGCCCTCTAGGTAGAGGATGCGTCTCAGGCCTAAGGAGGTCTAACCTTCCTAAGGGGCAGCAGGTGGCCTGCAGGGTGTGGACACGGCCACAGAGGGACAGGTGTTGTTAGAATTTGCACTATGGCTTCAGAACCTGTCAAGGGCATTTTCCTGAAGCCTCAGATTGTCCCCGGAAATGTGTTTGCACCCCTTGTCATCTGGGATAGGGCTGTGAGTTTCTAGATGTTTCGGGACATGAGGCAAGAACAGCCCAGAAAGCTCACTGTTGGTAAACTGCCCCCAAACCAGGCAGGGTCCGCCACGTGATAGAGATTTGGGGAGCAGCAGACGCCAGGCACTGCCTCACTCAGGACCTGAGAAAACGTCGCCATGCCGGGACTCGATTGTCCACGCGGGACTTGAGGCGAACGGCAGGGTCCTGCTCCACAGCTGACCAGGGCACAGGGTCACGGAGGTCCAGGTGGCTGTCAGTCGAGGTCCTGAGTGAGAGGATGGCATTGGGGTGGCTGGGAGAGGCCGGAATCCAGGCGCCATTTTCACGGGTCTCACCCGGACTGTGCTCCTTAGGAAGCTGCAGCGTATCATGGGTACAGGTCTGTGAAGTACAGATTTCAGAGTGGTGCAACAAGGCTCTCATCAGAGCTGGGCAGCTTCTCCGGCGTGGACAGCTGTGGCCATTGTCACCACTCTGCCACACACTCGTGAGGAAGAGGGCCAGAAAACGCTAACCAGACATCTGCTGGGTGGACGGGGAGGAGGAGGAGGGCAATGGGGCCATCCTCCAGCAGCCCGCTGAAGCCAGGCCCTTGCCTCTTGCTGCCCCAGTAACGTCCTTTGTGCCCTCTGCCCCTGGTTCCTGGAAATGCATCCCCAGCTTGGGCACGGTGGCTCAAAAGCCCCACTGGTTCCGCTGCAGGTGGGCTAGGAAGATGGCACTTTGCAGGGCATGGTGTAAGTCCCAGGGTCTCAGCACAGTGTAGGTGCGCAGCTGGGTATGTGGCTGTTGCTAAGTACGCATGGTAAGTCCAGGGACGGGAGGCCTCACTTAGGCCTCACCTGGGTGAGTCAAGATCATGTATCTGAAGGTCAATGGCCTCCCACATAGGCCCTCAGAATTCAGCACTCGTGAGCTGTACAATTGTAGATATGATCGGCTGATGAGCAGTGGCGGGGCAGGGGGCAGTGGATGGTCAGGGCCAGAGCCCTTCTGTGTGGAAGCTGAGGAGACATGGGGACCCCTCATCTGAGCTAAGAACCCTCACTGGCCCCATCCTGACCATGCGGTGAGACCCAGGGCAGTGTGGCTGGGCACGAACACAGACTTCAGTGACCACCATCAGCCTCACCTGACCAGCCCCGAAGGTCCAGGCACATACCTGAACTCAGAGCTTTGACATCAGAACCAGCTACCCAGAGACATGGGATGAAGCTGCCAGGCCCCAAGACCAGTGGAAAAATCTATCCTGCCCTAGACTCCTGGGGACCTTCCTGCTGCCTGGTGGAGACCCGGAAACAGTGGAGTCCTTGGCCTCCCTACCCCCTCCTAGGGAGGATCTGCCAGATGAGCCAGCCACGGGAGGCTGCCGCGCACTTGGCCATCCAGGTTGACTGACGTGGGCTGCAGCATAAAGCCAGCCCTTTCTCGTTCATGAGGTTCCTGGATCTCCCATTGGAAGGCAGGGGCTGGCTGGAGCTGGGATCCATTGTGAATGAGGTCCAGCTGCAGATGCCTCACTGAGTCCTCTCAGAGGCGGCATGGTCAGCCTTTGGAGGTCTCGGTATCTGAGGTCCTTTCCCTGAGTCTCCACTGGGTTCTTAGCTGCCCTGAGAGCCCTGGCAGCTCAAGCCCTGGTTCTCTGTTCCTCTAACTCAAGGTGGCTTCTCTAGTGTCTGCCTTTGCCAGGAGAGGTCATTGTTTCCTTTTGACACCTCAGGGATCCAGGCTGCAGAAGGCCCCCTGTAACTCCCGCAGCCCAGCTGTGTGTGTGCACAGGCACCCGGGCCCTTGTTACTGAAACAGGCAAGTTCTGTGTAGAAGGCACTTGCTCTGTAGTTATTTGCTGAATGGATGGATGGATGCATGCAGGAATGAATGAACGAATGAATGAATGAGTGGGCCCTGCAGGGCAAGGTTCCTTGCTGCAGTACAGATGTGCTGTTGGGAAGGCGGTGTGAAGGGCGGGATAGAAGGACCTTTCCAGTTAAGTCGGGAAGGCTTTCCAGGGATTTCCCGACTCCTCTGCTGGGCACCTGGTGACCCTCCCTTCACATTCTCCTGACTGTGTGGGCCCTGCAGCTCCTCTGACCCCAGCCCTGGTTAACACCATCTTAGAAGTGGGGAGTGGGGCTTGGGGGATCGGCCTTTGGTGAACCCCTAGGGTATGAGCAACCATTGGAGTAAATGTAATTAAAAGCAGGCTTTTAGGGCACCTTTTAGTTGGCCCAGAGAGGATTCCTGAGGCCATTTCTTGTCTATCCCATTGTTTTCTGGGCAACTGACCACCCAGCCCTCTCTGTCCCCTTGGACCCTGCTGCTGGGCAGCGGTTGAACAGAGTCCATCCCCATCCTAGCCACCAGGTGGCAGTAGTTACAAGGCCCAAGTGCCCGCCCTGGTCCCGAGGCCGCCAGGAGACCTGTGGCCCCGGGTGGCGACCGGCAAGTCAAGGCTCCAGCGGCAAAGATGGGGAAAGCTGGAGGGTTTGGCAGTGAGCACTGTCTAAAAGATCCAATGTTTCCCAGAAGCAGGTGGCTGGACAGGCGGGTCAGAGATCAAGGGGCGACTGGAACAGGCCCCAGCACAACAGGGTGTGGAGATGGCTGGGAGGAGGGGGCTGAGTGGGGCAGGGGAGACTGGCGGCTTGGGCAGGTAGGCAAGGTAGGCGCGACTGTGAGAACGAGGGCAAAGGCCTTGCCTAGAGACCAGGAGGTTTCTTCTGTTCTCCGCTGCATCCCCAGGGCTTGGGCGGGTACGTGGTGGGAACTCAGTCAACATGCTTTTATGGAAGGGATCCCAGAATGGGCATCAGCCGTGAATGACTTCCAAGAATCAGACTCTGATAACTGTGCCCTCACGCCCTGAAAAGCGCCCTGAGAAGCTGCTGGGAGTCCTTATGTGCCACGAAAGTACCCACCCCCCGTTCCAGACACCCGCTCCCAGCGGGGGATGGTATGTCATGCCCCACATGTTGCGTGGATTCTGCAGATGCTCCCAGCGAGTGCAGGGAGGGCCGGGACCCCCCGACTGCTGGGGACCCAAGCGATGGTCAGTTCTTGCATATTCCAGGGAAATCACCTCTGTTCTGCCAGAAACCTGTAGCCCAGCCTGGCAAGTGTGGGAATGCCATCTTACACTGTCCTGGTCCCCCAAGGGATGGTCCAGGGTGAGCCCAACAGCCTAGGGAGGTAGAAACAAAACCCAGGGAGGTGACGATCTCAAGTATAATTCCTTTGCTTTGATGCTGGGTTTCCACGCTAAGGGTCATGGGCAGTGCTTGAAGGCAGTTAGGTGTGTCTCATCCGAGTAGTATCAAGGAATGGGAGCCACTTTCCAAGTTTGCTGGCGGGAAAGTCGGGAGTGGCTTCAGATCTTGGTGGCGCAGTTGCTTTTGAGTGGCCTGAGAAGTGTGAGTCTTGCGGAGCGCTGGCCTGTAAAGCAAGTGGCCTTCTCCTGCTGTCCCCTCACCTCTGAATGGAATGAGAAGCTCCCTCCAAGCTGAGCTCCCTGGAGAGCGAGCCCAAGGCCTCCCTGCAGCAGCGCAGTGTTCAGGAGGCAGACAGGGAAGGAAGCTGCCTGCCCTGTGAGCTGTCACAGCACTCCCGAGGTACTCAGCGGCATGAGGCTGGAGTCACACTCCCTGGGCTCAAACCCCACCCTGTTGTGACCTGGGCCACGTGCTGGGTATGCTTGTCTCAGCGTCGAGGTCTGTCCAATGGGGGAATGATACCTCCTTCCCAGAAAGGTGGGAGGATGGATTAAGATGCACGTGGCCGCATGCGTAGTGAGGACTTGGCAAACAGCAAGCGGCGGTGACTACTGACATCATTACTGCTTGAGTTTCAAGTAGACAGCAGTCCTCTCCGAGACGTGGAAGGCAAATGAGTGTGGCTCTCGGTGAGTCCCGGACCTCCTGGTTTGGAGCCAGTGGCTGCTGCCACTGCCATCTGCTGGGAACAGACCTGAAGGTCAAGGCAGCTTTTTGGACCTGTTCCGAGGGCAGTACCCCCACAGTTTGGGAGGCAGGGCAGGTGCTCAGAAAAGAGCCTGACAGCAACAATTCCCAAGTGTAGAATCAATCTTTGTTTTGTTAGAAAGTTCCAGGAAGAAAGAGGGCCTAGGATTTGACAAGCCAAGAGTAAGGGGGAAGCCCCCTATTCTTCATTTTGACCAGTTCTGGGCAAAAACAGCCCAGACTAGAGGACAATCACCCAACCCCACATTTTCTAGAAAGTCTGAAGCTCTTCCAAGCAACATCAATGTCAACAGGATAAGTCTGCAGTTCCAGGAGAACCGCAGGGCCTATGTCCATGGAGGCCC